GCTGATAGAAATGGTGGCATGAGATAAAAAAGAGAATCCAGTAATTTCTAGTTTCCCATTAAGCCTGAATATAATGTCAAAGCTGGTGCTTAGCAGTACAGAAAGAATTCTAAGTTTTGACAGGCTTTTTTTCTCACCTTTCTTGTGAGATGCAGGAAATCATGCATCCTTTGTGTTTACACTGGCCTAAGGGCTTCAGTGATAGTCCTATAAAGACAAAAGATACATTTCTTATTAAAAAGGCTTTTTCTTTTTTTCTTTAACATTTTTGCAAAACAAATATTTTTCAAATTTTCTATAAAAGTTTAAAAGCATCTTTCCCTGTACTTTTATTATTTCCACTTTTTTGGAACATTTGAACTTTTAATGTCTACTGCAATTTCCTCAGAGTTTGGCTAGCCTTCCAGAAGCAGATGTAAGTTCAGCAGCTTCTTTATTATCAAAACTGAAGATTTAATTCTGAAAATGAAGTATGCAACTTAATTACTCTGATAGAAGTATTTTGGGTTTTTTTCAGTAACTCAGTGGGATAAAAAAAGTTAAAACTCTTCTAAGTGTTGCTGAAAAGAAGTCTAGGGGAAGCAGGAGGAAGGATGGGGATTTCTACTAAGTTTCAATTTTATGTGAAGCCTGGGTGTGTGCATTAAAAAGCTGCTGCTTTAGAAAGATGAAAAAGCTCATTGTTTTCCATCTTTCCGTCACATTACTAAAACTCTGTCGGCCACAAGAAGTGTGTAGTCATACATACATGCAGGACACATGCATGACAGTTCTGTATGGGGAGTAAGAGCATTCACGGCAGATATAGATGTCTGCTTTATGACGAGTAAGTTGGAAGCTCAAGATGGCCAGGTCATAAGATATTTACTTACAGAAGGTGGCAGAACTATGGGCAAACCAAACTTTCAGCTTGTTTGAAATAGCAAGGCTATGTGTACACAAGGTTCCCCAGCGGAGTGGTGACCTTCTGTAACGTGAGGCAGAGCCTAAGTTTAGTAAATAGAGGCTTGGAGCCTCGTGTTTTGTGCCAGGTCTCCGAGAGAGCGTAAATCACCATGTGATTGGTCTCCCTGCTGCTGTGATTGGCATTCCCTCCCACTTTATGCTGCTTTTCATAAAGCTTTAGTGTACCAGCAACCGAAATGTATGTGGAAAAGCTAGCTGTAGCACCAATGATATAACAATCAAAACCAGAATTGGCCAGTAGGACTCAATATTTAGTTAATCATGAAGTACAGCCCATGTGAGCTTTGGTAATGTCAGACCTTATCACGTGTTTGATTTGTTTTAGGAAGATAAGAGCAGTTGTACTTGATCAGAGCAGAGATCCACCCAGCTTGGTATCCTGACTCCAAAACTGGCCTGAAGAAGAAGTTTATGAGAACAGAGAAAAATTATTTTCCCTAGTATTCTCTCCATTTTCTAGAGCTCTGCAGTTCAGGATTTTCTTGAACCAGGGATTATATCTTTGTGTATATCAGCTTCATTACACCTTCAGGGATTTTTTCTAATTATTATCACTATGGTTTGTGAATTAAAAAGATAATTATCCATTATTTCTGAATATTTGAGGTATGTTTCATTTCCCTCAAAGCAAAATTTAAAGTTTAGAGCCTCACAATTTGTAAGTTTTGGCTGAAATTGTTAAACCAGTTTAACCTAAATAAGATAGGTAAATAATTTAGCTAGACTGCACTGCTGGGTTTTGTTGTTGATGCTTGTTTTTTAATTTTTTTTTTTCATTGAGACCAGAAATACCTTGTGGAAAGCTGTTTCTTCTGTGCACAAAGAACAAGAAAAAGCATCAGTGTGTTGATTTATCCAGGTTCCCATGGTGCCTCTGCAGCAGTCTGCAGTGTCACCCACTGCTGTTTCTTGATGGTGACTAGAGGCAGTAGTACTTATTGGAAAGGGAAAACGAAAGAGAAAGAAATGTGTGGTTTAAAAAGGAACAAGGCGATGGTTAGAGTGGAAAATCTTGTCTTTCATTAAGTGCATGGGACCGGTCCTTGTTTCTATCTAACTTCTCTGGAGAGTAAGAGCTTTCCAATATACTCCAAAATGAATGAAGTGGTTTGGTTGAGCAAATGCACACAAAACTAAGCTGTTGGCCAAGAAGAACAGTGAGAAAATGTGAAAAAATAAAAATAATGGAAGCTCTGCAGAGTAGCTTTTTTCTTGTCACATGATAATTACCTTTTAAGAAATGTGTATGTTTTTCCGTTCCTCATTCTTAGTGGGAGAAATAGGGAACGATGAGGACAGACTCAGGCACAGCTGCTGCTTTTCCTGAAGGCAGTCTGGTGCTGCTCCTGCTGATAGCAACTTGCAGTGTCACCTTCACGGCCTTTACCTTTTTCTCTTGCTTTCCCTTTCCCTTCATACAGCAATCCCCCACCCTTCCCAAGGGCTTGGACATCTCACCCGAATTTGTAACCCTTTACTGAGCCAAGACTGCAACGATGTCTTGGAGGGTGGCAAGAGGTGATGCTTCCCAAAGCAATGGTTAAACTGGCAGGTGGGGAGCTTACGGATCCGTCTTAATCTCTTTGCAGATGCCATGCTCTTCTTCCTGCCCCATCCCTCCCTAGGCATCACTTTTGTCACTGTGTACTGTCATAAGTATCTGAAAATATTTTATTTGATGCAATCCTTGACTACTGAAAAAGTATGGAAGAAAATTTAAATGCATAAGAATTTTTTTAAGTGTTGAAGTGTTAATATGGTGAATGTCATTGAAGAGTTTCAGATAAGGATTTGATGTTCAATCAAAAATCCCTTAATAATCTGGATTACTCAATACTGGATAATTTCTCAGGTTCCTTTTCTGGATTCAAGGCCCAGGCATGTCTTAACTTCATATTAGATGAGGTGTTTGTCTAGAAAGTTTCCTCTCCACATTCCTCTCTTTTCTTATCTTCTTTTCCTTCTTGCCTCCTCTCACTTGCTGTTTTCAGACACAAAATTCAGATTGTGCCCTGGATGGAAGCTCTTGCTCTCTCCAGGTAGTTGTCAGTTGTAGCGACCAGAGAAACAGAGCTTCTGGATGCACTGGACATCAAAAGAAGTATCTGGATGCATTAAAAAACAACTTCCTAAAAAACCCACCAAGGTTAATGAGTTTTCCTCTGGCAATTGCAAAGTCATTTTGCTCTCCTCTTCCCCCTACTTCCAACTTGTGTCATTTTAATCAAGTTTCTGTAAAATACTATTCTAAGTTGTTATATGCTGTGAGACTGATTATTTCTTGCATGTAGAACATGAGAAAGGAGAAGGGAAGCTGATTTTTGCAATTTCTGCAGGAGACTATATTCACTTTGTCTTAATCCTTGACACGTAAGGTCATCAAGCAGAGAGCTATCATTTGATAAGTAAAGTAGGTATAATATTACCAATATTACTTGAAAGAGGTAAGTGATTGGAAGCTAAACCACAGCCATCTCCTAACCAGACAGGTCTTCAAGATGAAGGAGGGCAAGTCCTGTTTTGTACTGGTCTGGGTATAAATTTTGTTATTACTTACAATTTTTGGATAGCAGAATGTCTTGCTGAGTACATTGATTAAAGCTGTGCTACTACCTCAGTCAGCCTCTAAATATCCTCAAACATCCCAGGAATCATACACTACCTCTGCTTGCTGATGTGCTATTATAAAACTTTAGCTGTCATTTTGGTATTTTAATGTTAGCCACTACACAGCTCACAAATATTTAAAGAAAATCCTTAATGTCAAACCTTCCTTCCATATAATAAAGGTAATTTAATATTTCTCATTATATATTTGTTTTTTCACTGTTTTAGCTCTCTATAAATCCTTATCCTGATTTAAAAATCACCCTATCATGCATTTGTAACAAATTTCTATTGAGTAATTTCTTTCACAATGGCAAGGGTAATAATCATATTTATTTTGGCACATACAGCCTCTCTGCTGTGTAAACACACAGAGAGCTGGTTTTAGGAAGATCCTGTTTTTCCTGTGTAGGGGGGTGAAAAATGTCAGGTCCTAACCAGTTGAAACACCATTAAGAGTGAAGTAATTGGCAGGGACAGAAGTTCTCCCTGCGGGGTGTAAGCATGCAGGTTTGACACAAAACATAGCACCTCCCTCCTCCCTCCTGAGAATGGCAGAACTCATCAGCAGTTTGCCTCCTAAGTTTTCTTGCACCAGTTCAGAGAAATGCTGAGAAAAGCCATGACTCATGGTCTGACAGCACAGACAGAGCCTTCAGACTCCCTAATGAGCAGATTACCTGACCAAAGGTTCCTCTTCAGAGCACCAGAATTTGGTGTGGGGCTGCCCAGCGACCCTGAGCAGCAGCCACTTTGGTCCCCTTGAATCTTAATTAACAGGGTTCAGGCCACAAGTGAGAGGTTGAGGAGATTAAGTTGCTAATGCCGTAAAACACACAAGCTTTCACTTTGCGCAGTAGGGAAATGTATGGGCTGATGGCAAGACAATCCAGGTTTTAAAAGCTGGGCAAGGAGCCAAAACAGTCCTGTCTTTAAATTCAGTCTCTGGCATTTTCTCTGTAGTTACATGTAGCCTGTTTCGCCTTTTCTATGTTACTCACCCTCCACGGAGCATGGGTTTAGTAAATGGCTAGTGTAGTTGAGATGAGAAAAGTCAAGTAATAGTAGCTTAATTCCTTCTCTATCTACCTGAAATTAATTTCTTATGCTTCTACCTAAATGTTTTTTCATGCATACAATCTATACAGTCTCTTAAAGAACAAAGGGAAACATCGTGGTGTAAATTTTCCATGCTGTTGTAGCAGCCTATTTGTTTGCACAGATATACATCAGGAAAAAAAGTTTTTGGCTTTTATACAGTGTTACATAGTGTAATAAGAAACAACTTGAGTCAACCACCTATAATTTAATTAAAATTTTGTGTTGCCAATTCATAATATCATATATGTTTCTATCCAAGTGGAATAATTTCTTCATAAATTTTCATTGTGAGATGTCAATTTTCATCCTGTCTTATTATTTACCAGCCTACCTGCCTGACTTCTCTCAGCTGCGTTGGACAGGACACGTCTCAAGGATGAAGGACTACCACCTCCCTAAGATCTTGCTTTATGGTGAACTTGCCACTGGCTGCTGCAAGAGAGGAGCCCCAAAGAAAAGATACAAGGACTCCCTGAAACAACATCTCAGCCTTGGCCATATTGATCAGCATAACTGGTCTACTCTGGCCTCCAGTTGGGAGGTCTGGAGACACACCATCTATAACACTGCTGCTTCCTTTGACAGTGCACGCAGGATCACTCTCGAGGAGAAAAGACAATGCAGAAAGAATCATGTCCTGCTGATACCACCTAAGGAGTCTTTCTGTTGTGCCCTTTGCAACTGGACTTGTCTATCTCGCATTGGCCTTTTTAGCCACCAGCACACTTGTAGCAAATGTGGGTAGAGTCCTTCCCAAATCTTCGTTCGCGAAGCCCAGCCATGAACCTGCCTGACTTCCACCTTGGTTGCCAGTCACTACTATCTGACATCTCTATTGCATTTCTACTGCCCTTGTGAATGGCATACTGGCACTTTTTGTTTTGTCCCCCTCAGTATTGTCACCTCCCCTATGACTTTAAATAGACAGATTCTCCCACTAAGCCTTCCAGCACCCTAATCAACTGTTGCTTTGCTGTTTTTGTTCCTACTACACACTTAGTTCTGAACAGCCTTATTTCCTTCTCCGCTATGACCAAGTCAAATACTGCTGAAATGCCCAGTGCAGCAATAAGAATGGAGATATTCATTGTAAGCACTAGGGCAATAAAGTTGCTTTAAAATTTTAGATAATATTGAATTTCAAGCCTCTGTGGAATGGCAACTTGATTAAAATTTGTTTGATAAGATTTTAGTTTACTTTGGTTACTTCTTTCTAAAAATTCGAGCCTTACATCATTGGAATAAATCCTTCCTTTTATTTCAGCATACTTTAGAAACTGGCACCCTGAGGTGCAGAATTTGATTTAGCTCGGAAAAGTGGTATTGTTTTTGATCTTTAGTGGAAAGACAGGAAACTCCATAGTGGAATTTCCTGTATAGTATTAGCAACAGGTAGGTAAAGAAAAACATTTTCATATATGTTGTACATTAACTCATCCTCTTGTGAGGCTAATGGACAGGTCAGTAAGACTTAAGTCCTGGTTTCACCAAGTAGTTGTGGGTTGTTGACAAGATATTTCAAAGCAGAGACTGCAAAAACAAATATTTTGGTACCTGGTACTTTCCGGAACTAGAATTATTTCTGGGCTTCCACAATTCCTCAACTCTTTGGCTTTCTTGCATGTGATTCCTTGTCTTTTCATGACTATTTTCTATACAGATGGGTAAGTTATCAGTTGTAAACTCTTTCAAGCTATTTTAAATCTACTTTTGTTTGTAATCATCTTTGATGAGTTTCCCTATATGTTTTCTTACTTTGCATATATTAGATTGTAAATTATAGGTGAAAGATGACATAAATTATGGGACAGTATTTCTATCCTAGCCAAAAATTATCTGCAGCTGCCCATAGTAATTGGAAGAATTTACCATATAAGAAAAGTCCAAGATGGGTGAATGTCTGAGGACAGATAAAAGCATACCTATTTATGTTTTTTTTTGATAAGGTGATATGAGTGGCATGTTATGTTAGGCACAACTAGTTCTGAAAAATACCTTTTGGAGTTCTTTATCATTTAGTAGTAATAACACAATGTGTAGAGGAGATATTGCTGTGATAAAAAGGTGAAGGAACAAATTCTGCAAGCTATTCTGATGAAAAAGGACCTACATATTTTATCCTAGTATTCATCCTGGTATCCAGCCAGAAGGGGGGAAAATATATAATTTGAATTTTTGATTGAAAATGAAGATAAAATAAACCAAAATATTTAGGAGTGAGGGAAAAACATAAAGGACAAAGTCTGAGTATATGGATTTGAAAGGCCAGACCTCAAGAAAAACATCACTCTTAGGATTTATATTCTGGATGAAGCTAGAAAAGCCACTGTTTTCTAGTATTTCAAGTGCAAAATGATAGAATTCCAGTGTAAGATCTGCATATGCATCAACTTCTTAACTGAAGTTTTACGGGTTTTTCTTGTAAGTGAAGTTGGGTTTCCTGAGAAAGAAATTAAAAATAACATATTTGATTGTACCAGGAGCATTTCTTAATGTGTTTAATTGTCTGCTTTGGAGGTCTTTTTCTTACATTTATTTCACACTCAGTAGGCTTAGGGAGCTGCTGTGTCACAGGCCTCTCTTAGTTCCCTCTTTAGCACACCAGTTTAAGTGTTTCTGAGATAGTACAGAAAGACAAGTGCAAGACATGCACTGACTTGCCATACCTCTCTGAAAAAGCACAAAGAAACTCAGAGCAGTCCCTAGTCACACAGATAGTGATGAAACCAAAGTTAGATTTTGACTGCTGCTACTTCACATTATTCCTTCAGGTGAGGCTGAGGCAGTTGTCCTTCAGACAAGACTTGAAGTATCTTTAAATTAGCATTAACAGCATCATTATGGCACTATAAAACTTAGTGCAGGCTGCTAAACCTGTTCAAGTGTATGTTAAGTTTCCCAGATGGGTTTTATAACCTGCATTGAGAAACACAGGGCTATATCTCAGCTACTGGCAGTTATGTGAGAAAGTGATGTAGGTTATTCTGGTTATACTGAATGGTAACTGCATTACAGACATATCCTCAGGTCCCATAGGAAAGTGATGTCTCCTACTATAGATCCCTGGCTAGGGGGAAAAACATCTCTCTTTTCTCTACATGCCTTGGATAGGAATCTCTGTCTGAAAATATCCAATAAATTTCTCTGTTCCTCTAGGGAAGAGTGAGTGGAAAGCAGCTTGTTTTTAAGCTCTGTTCAATCCATGGTTGCTGGTGCCTGGAGATGATAATGTCTCAGCTCTGGTTTCAACAGAGTGAGCTCACAAAGGCAAGCATAACATCTGTCAGCTTGCTTGGGCTTGTCAATGCTGCTCCATAGTTTCCGTTACTTTTCAGGCAAACTCTGATTAATGCTATAAGAAAGACTTAGGTTGTTCTCAAGGAACTTCTCCATAATCTATGTCATCATTGCCGATCATGTTAGCACAGAGAGCTGCAGACTGTAGCATGCTCAGTGGTGAGATCCCATTGCTCAGGCACAGTGATTTGCAATTAGTTTCTAGCAGGCCAGGTAAGATGTCTGGCCCTCGAGGGCTGTTTCTCTTTGACAGCGAAAAGTTATGTAGCAAATTAGTGCAATACATTGAATTTCTTTTTCCACTGAGGTGTTAGGTATGAAATAAATGTCTTTCATTTCACCTATGTAGGATGGTCATTATGGCTCTAGATAAAAACAATATTAATAAAAAGAGACAGTTATTGCCAGCCCAACCGCCAAAAGTGAGAAGGGGTCAATATGGTCCTTTTTATATCACCATAGGCTTCTTACGCAAGGGTGTCTGTACAAAGAAAAACATAAAGTTTGAAATTGTTTTTCTATTTCTTATCATGTATGATGTCATGCATTATCAATGAAAGTCCGCAGCATATCTCGGAACATCTAACTATATAGTCTTTTAACCATGATTTTCTAGGGTATTGTCTCCTATACTATGTATCTGAAATATGGCAATGTGTTAGTTTTCTCTCGTTTATCTTGGTTTATCTTGTACCTGCTGAGAGTAATATAAATGTTTTTCCTCTTGCACTTACGCTGTTAAGGATGCTAAAAAACACTATGTGGAGATTCTCATAGTATTATGGTGAATTGCATAAACATAGTATTCAAGGTCAGGTTGGATGGGGCTTTGAGCAACTTGGTCTAGGGGGAGCTATCCCTGACCACAGAAGAGGGTTTGGAACTAGATGATCCTTTAAGGTCCCTTCCGACTCAAGGCATTCTATGATTTTGATTTTATGTATCAATGTGATTTGAAGACAAAAGTAATTTCATTAAAATTGTCACTGTCTTCTTTCAAAGAACCAAACAAAAGTGAAGTGCAACTTCTGAACTTCTGAGGTGGTCACTCCCCATGTGTAAAAACCAGTAAGGGGCACACATACTCACAATATATGCCAGTGATGGCTTTCTCCTCTTTACATCCAGCTTTTCCAGTTTTGTCAATCATTCAGTATTGTAAGAAATTCTGCTGCAGGAACAGATGTGCTAGAAAGCAATGAAACACAGAGGGTTTCACTTTAGGTTATTGAACTGAGTATGTGTCATATGGATAGTCACGATAGGTTATCAACTGCTGAATATTTGTCTGCCTCTGAAAACAGATGGGAGATATAGCACTGTTTCTCAGAGAAAAAGTGTTCCCACTTCAGAAACTTCATTTGGCACTTTGTGTGGAAATAAAGCAGTCATTCTAGATGATATCGGAAAAATATGCTACAGCACTGGCCTAGTGAAGCTGGAGGGTCTGAGCCAGTGGGAAACTATGAGGAACCCCTGGCAGAATAAAGGTCAGAGAGATTTACTTGTTTCCCTTTGTTAGCATTAGCCAAAAGCATTGCACAATGCATCATGCTTGGGAGATGCGCGGAAATATCTCCAGGTGTTGGCACCTCATCCCATCCACCCCTCAGCACGACTCTCTTATTATGAGAAAATGTGCTTTGAATTCTGGGTTCACAGCTGCAGTGTACATTTTCATGTGGATTGCTCTTTGTCAATAGGACAGCTGAGGGCTTTGGGTGTTTTACCAGTGAAAGTTAAAGTTTTCACAGTAACTTCTAGCTCAAATTTCATTCTGCTTGTTCTTATTTTGCTGAAGATCTCCCAGGATCCTTGAGCAGAGTAGAGACTTTGATATAATACCTGACAGTTCTTGGCTCTGGGAAAAATTGCTATCATGACAGAACTCAAGCCATTTACCATACTATCCATAAGCCATGCTTCTAAATGCTTTTACTCAATAGCACTTGAGTACTTTGATTTCCTTTCCTTCAGAAAACTATACTACAAGGATTATTACTCTACTGAAAGTGACTGCGCTCCGTCCAACACAGTAAAAGATTTTGTCTTCAGTTGTTTTCTGCCTGTGCACACAGATATCTCGTTATAAGCTGTATACATAATGCTTTATCAGTTTTCCTTCCATAGCTTCTGAAATTATTATA